GTGCAAATAAAGGACCCTGTACATTCTGTTTGAATGTAGAAAGACGAAGGTTCTGATAGGACACAGCCCGAGGTGAATGGATTAAGAATTACAATTTATCATGAAAATGGGTGTTGCTGTGAGGTACCTTAGCAGTTGGATGCTTCACCACTGTGCTATAAGGTCTCCTTGGGACAGAGTCATGGGGCTCGGTGACTAACCTAAAGGCTGGCCGTGCAAACCCGTCTAACCTCACCTCGGAAGAAAAGGCCTGGTGATTCTGTGAAGATGCAAACCAAAGAGGAAAACAAACCCATCGCCATTGAGGGCTGTCGTGCTGACCCAGTGACCACACAGGACAGAGAAGAACGGCTCCCTAAAATCCCCCAGCTGAAATATATATATTTAAATCATTTTATTTGGGGCTCGTACAATTCTTATCACCATCCATCCATCCATCCATTGTGTCGAGAACATTTGTACATTTGTTGCCATCATCATTTTCAAAACACTTTCTTCCTACTTGAGCCTCTGGTATTGGCCCAGCTGAAATCTTTAAAGTTCCTGGCTGCCATATCTTCCTCCCATGAACCGCTGACCTTCTGGTGAACAGCTGAGCCCCTAGCCCCTGTGCCAGTAGGGCGCCTGGCCGCAAGGCTGACAGCCCGGAAAGCCGCCGGAGCAGCTCTCTGCTCAGATACACGGGCCTGCCACGAGGTGGGGCCAACTCAGCAGCAGCAGGTTGGGGTCTCTTCACTACTGAACTGGTATCGAGTTGGATGTCAGTCCTATAGTCGTAAAACCAAAAAAGCACATCATCAAGCAAACAAAACCAAACTCCCTGCCCATGGTCCATTCCTCCTCACAGTGACCCTGTCGGTCCCCACAGAAAAGGCAGCGTCCTGGGATGAGGTGGCTCCATGCTCACACGCCACAGAGGCCCAGCACACCCAGACCCAAGCCGGAGCAGACACACAGAGGCCTGGGCGGAAGCACACCAGCACACCACTCGCTCAAGCCCCTCCTCCCCGCCCTCACCTGCTGCCGAGTCTTGCAAGACAAGGTCCTCCAGGGCAGGCCAGTCTGTGTTCAGCCGCTTCACCAGTTTGTAGGCGTTCACCGGGTGTGCCAGGTAGCCCTCAGGGTCAGCCGTCGACTTGCTGGTCAGCGCTTCCATTTTGGTGGCCCAACTGTGGACCGGGAGGAAAGGGAAGGCTGTGAGGCTCCCCACCGAGCCTCAGCCTGTGGGGACTCCCACCGGGCCCTGGGACCCTTCTCATGGAGAGGTATCTCGTAAGGTCGCCTCTCCCAGCTGAAACTGCCAGTCCCTGTGTCCAGACAAGAGGTGTGAGCAAAAGGGCTCTTAGGCAGAAAAGCAGGGAACAAACAAACTCACTAACCCGGGTGACTCCCTAGCCCATGCACTGCACTTTGGAGGAGCGGCAGGAAGTCACCCACAGGCCAGCCCCGGATCTCTGGGGCACCCTCCATGGGCTCTGGCAGGGCAGGAGGGCTGACGGGTAGTGGGTGTGAAGACAAGGTATTTGTCACCTCTTAATCTGGGCGAGCTTGGCCTCCTCTGCTAGGATGTACTCCTTCAGGGACTTCACCAGATCCTTCTCTGCATAGATCAGGTCCGTCATGTGCCCTGCCACGGAGCCAAGGAGGGGCCGGTGAGCAATGGACGGACCGCCCGCCGCCGCCGCCTCCCTACGGTTGCAGACACCAGCATGGGGTGGGGAGCTCTCTTGGATGGTGGGGCTTGTTGTTACATGGACCCTAGGCACTCAGAGGGTCCGGGCCCCCGGCTCATGCAGAGAGTGGGGTGTCGGGATAAATACACTGGGCACAGGGGGGTTACTGCTCAGAATCCCTCTCTGATTTGGGAGAAAGGTGGTCAGAAAGGCCCGCAGTCGGGGGACGGCCTGCACTTCCCAGGGCACGGGCTCACAGCACACCAGCTTGTTGGGGCACCTCAAGCTCCACGAGCCCTAAGAACGGGCAGAGAGTAGCGGGTGTGGCCACGGAGCCCTGAACGAGGACAGGGCCCAGCTGTGCAGTCCCCCTGGCATTTGACCCAAAGGTAGCTCAAACAAGGGCCAATCCTCCTGGCTCATACCAATGGACGTGAAGAACTCGGCCCCCACACAGCCCAGGACACCAAGCCAGATCAGCAGCAGCACGGACACCTGGGGTCTCATGGTCACAGAGGTCAGTGTCTGTAAGGCATTTAGTGACACTCGTTAGATCAACAGTCAGGGAACAGACACGTACCATACACACAACAACACAGGCGCGGGCTCAAATATGGCCTGAGCCCTGGGCAGGCATCCTGAAACTCAGACGCACATTCACGTTCACCCATCAGATAGAGTGTGGATGATGTGTGCTCAATTTGGGCCCCTGCCCTGGGAAGCCACTGCCTTCAGGAGAGGCCCCACCTCTCGGCTCCTGCGAACCAGCTGCCACATGAGGCAGCCGAACATTCTAGGAGTAAGGTCCCCTCTGGCCCCTAACAGTCTGTCAGTCCCTGGTCCTGGGCTGCCTTTCTCATTTCCCTGACTGCCAGTCTGGCTCTATCCTTCCTTCCACATACGTCAGATGCCACGGGCCCAGACATAACACACAGTCTCCAGCTCAGACAGTCCAGGAGCTACAGTGACAGACTGAGAACTTGACACCATGTGGCATATGACCATGGCCCAAGTCAGCACAAGGCTGGCTTAGAGGAAGAATCAAACCACCTTGCCCATCTGCATCTGTCCACCAAGAGGGGCCATGGTGGGCAAGCCCGAACCATACTATTCCCAGACCCTGTCTCCTCTCAGACACTGTCCTCACCAGGCAGCCACCCTCCTTCACAAATGTTGACTAAAGACACTGAGCTAGGCACTCAAGAGACAAAGATCAATGAGCCACTATCGGCCAAAACTTCAGGTTGGACTGGGCTGCTGGCCCACGAGAGGCCAGCTTCTGTCTGCTCACCAGCCTAAAAAGGGCCAGGGCCAGTGCTCAGGGGAGAGGGTACAGCATGGGGCCAGCCTCACTGGCTATAGCTCTATGCACAATGGAAGCCTTGGACCCAGCGCCCAGCTTAGAGCACCCTCTTAGGCATGTCCAAGAGCCGGGCTTGGACCCACTTGGGGCACACTCCCACACTGGAGGGGCAGCACCCATCCAGGTCCAGCTCTGCCAGCCTTCCTCCTCCCGCCTCCGGTTCAGCCAAGCCCAGGGAAGTGCTCAAATGGAAGTGTACTGAGAGAAGTCAGTGTAAGCCTTACCAAAGCTCACGTCTGCTGCCTGCCCGCTGTACCCAAGTGGACACACAGTCACCTCCTCACTCCTCATCTGTTCTGGCCCAAGCCCTACCCCATCCCCACTCCTGCCAGGGGCCTCTCTCAGGAAGAGGAGGGAGGGAATGAATGAACACCCTGTTTGTCATGCCCCTGCCGACGGAGCCAGCAGCATGCCAGCCGCTGCGCTTGGAGCTGGGGACACAGAGCCACACAGGACATGGGCTTTCCACCCAGAGCCTGGGTGGGCGGGCAGTGTTAGGCTACGGGGCTCTACAGAGTTCTGACGACAGAGTCAGGAGTCAGAGGAAGGCTCGTCGTGAGAGGTGAGCAGACCTGGATGCTTGCCCGGTTCTGGCCACAGGTTGCTCCCAGGAGCCTATCCGCCCTGCTTCCTCACCCGGAGCCAGGATTCCACAAGCAGCTTTCACTTAGATGGGTAGGTGTCTGTTCCTTATACCTGAAGAGGCTTGGCAGCTCAGGAGAGCACTTCTCCCACGTACGTGTGTGCAGGGAGACATGTCTGTGGACAGGGACGGGCAAGCTGGCTGCCCCTCAGGACTGCAGCACAGGGAACAAACCAGCACGGCTCCCCAAGTGTGTTGCTGGTTGCAACGGCCCACCCCCTCAGAGATGAGGACACAAACTCAGAGGGGGTGGGGAGGAGCCCCTCTGTGCTTTCCAGCCATCCTGGTGAGCATTCCCCTGGTTTGTGCCTGATACGGGCCCACCCGAGGGAAAAGAGCCAAGTTCCTTCATTACATGAATACCATCTGTCATGTCTCTGGAATGTGCCGTGCTGGCTTAGAATGAGCCCATCCGTGCATCCCGGCCTGAAGGCAGAGCCCTGAAGAACTCCAGATGCCCCTCTGGAAAACCTTATCAAAAGCCTGAAAAACCCTGCCCTGGATGTGTCTGGTAGGGGAGGAGGCAGGGGGAGGGCAGGGATGACTGTGCTGGTGTAGAGCGCTGAGCAGGTCCAGGAGCCCCCAGCCTGCTATAGCCACACTGCCACCCTAGGAAGGGGAGTCCTGGAGCCCGGTCCCACTGGGCCTGGGCCTGGGCCCAGTGGATGACAAAAGGCATGGTGCAGAAATAAACATCTAATTAGGGTCAGGTTGGAATGGGGCAGCATTCAAGAAGGACTAGGTCCCACCATGCAGAAAAGGCTAACCAACTTCATGGGCTGCCCCCACCGCCATCCCATCTCACACCTAACACCCACAGCTTGCTTTGGACAATGTAGGTAGAAGAATGTATGTGGAGTGTCCCCTGAAATACTTGTCCAGTGCTGCCAAAAGCTCTCCTGAGGACCCTTAGAAACCCCGGCAGAGTGGGCCTGAAAGAGAGCCGGGCTGAGGTCCCTTGAAGACAATGTGACTACAAGCCTGCACAGAAAACCCACACTGGGTCTTAGAGATCTGAGTCATACCCCGAGTTCAGAACAGCTCCCAGCTTGTATCAAAACCCCAAAAACAAATCCAGCGCATTCGGGTCCATTCCAATTCACAGTGACCTGCAGCACAAAGCAGGGTTGCTCCACGGGTCCCCAAGGGGTTCTTACAGTAGCAAGCGCCAGGTCCTCCCCCTGCACAGCGGCCGGTGGTGCGAACCACCGATCATTTGGTTAGCGCTGAACCCACAGCACCACCATGGCTCCTGTGGCCTGTACTAGGTGTCCAGATAATACTTCCTCACAAATTTGTTCAAGGGAACAAAAGATAGGAGGATTTCAGAAATTACATTTCTCCCATACAGCATATGGTTTCATAGCATAGTGCTATTTGGCACAGAGTAAAGATCAAAGCATGCCAGTAAGTGAGAAAAAGCAGGCTCCTACCCAATTATGTATCCCACGAGTCCATTTGTGATGGAAAAGGCATGTATACGTATTCAAGGTCACAAATCTAACTGTATCTTGAAGTGCTTTTCCCTTGCTCCCATGGTTGTCTCTCCCAATCTTTGTCCAAGAAGTCCAATTCAAATGCAAAAACCCACTGCCATCAAATCAAGTCCACTCAGAGCAGCTCTGCAGGACAGGGCAGAACTGCCCTGCGGGTTTCCGAGACTAACTTCACACCAGGAGGAAGCCCTGTCTTTCGCCAGAGAAGCAGCAGGCAGTCAAACTGATGACCCTGTGGATGGCAGCCCAACACATAACCACGATGCCACCAGGACACCTAAGAATGTTAAAAATACTTTTATGATATGCTTCCAGTGAAAAGGGAATAAAAAGAACAGGCCCTTCTCAAATACACCCCCGCAGGGTGTGTCAGCCCCAGAGTTCGGACCCCCACAGGGAGGTTATCCAAAGCCTGCCAACACCTCAGCAACAGTGATTCACCCACCAGGCAACTGACCCTGTCTGTGTGTACAGAGCAATTCCAAGACACACAACCAGAGGCCCCTCCAATCCTGCTCTTTGGAAAGGATGTTTGCAGCCAGATGGCCAGAAAGAGATGTTTCCAACTGCAAAACTAACAGTGGCCTTAGCCTCTCCGCTTACCTCATTGTAGGCCCTTCTGCCAAGCTCCCAGCTGCAGCCCAAATGCAGCAGCTTGGGTTTTAACAATGCATTTAACAGCCTGGAGACAGAACATGGGTTTACCGAGAACAAACAGGTCTGGCCCTGGGCTAGTGCTGAACAAGGGCCGCCTGCCTTCTGCAATGGGGCAAAAGCTTGTCTGAGCAGGGCTCGCCCAGGGGCCCTGACTCCATGGGTGCCAGCACGGGCAGGGGGAGCAGAGGGCCTTGATGCTCAGCACACTTGCCACTAGCCAAGGCTCCAGGGGGCTCCCCACCAGAATGTCTGTCAGACCAAAAGCCACTGCCCCCAGCACCCCAGGGAGGGTGGATGCCAGCCCATTCTCCTTTCCTGATGTCAAGACACAGCCATTACCCTGGTCTCAACCTCCTGACACACCCACCCCCCACCCCCCACCCCTGCCACTGCACTGGCTGCCCACATCCCAGCAACCCTCCTGTAGCCCTGCCCCGTCCCCATGACCAGAAACCCCACAGGTTCTGCGCTGCCCTCAGGAGAAAGTCCAAATGTCTCTGCTCAAAGGACCTTTTTGACCCTGGGAGCCCTGGCTCTGCCCCACTCTCCAGCCCCATCCCACAATTCCAGGGTTCATACTTTAGACACTTTGCACAGAAAACACGCTCCTTCGCTGGGAGCCGACGCACCTGCTCTTCCCCTTTCTCTACCAGGTACTTGAACGCAGACTGCTGCTTCCTGGCCTGGGCTGATAAAACAGGCAAAGCTGAGTGAGGTGTGGCAGAGAAGATGGACTCACAGAGAGCACTAGACAAAAAGACAAAACCTATCGGCCGCTCTATCCGATGCTGCTTTGGAAGGGCCTCGGCATCTCTCAGCCTCACCTGTCTGTCCCCAGGGTCCTCGGCCACTCGGAGGCGACACCGTGGAGGAGACTGCAGGTCCAGGCGGAGACGCTGGCTCCTCCCATGACTGCCAGGCTCACCTCGCAAGAAATGCCACTCTGCCTAGGGCCTCTCCAGAGGCTGCTAAAAGCTCTGGTCGCGTAACCAAGCAGTGAGGCAGCCTGAGTGCCCTCACCCGGGACAGCTTCCAAGGAAGGGCAGAGCACACAGGCACACAGCAGATAAACTCCCTCTTGGGGGCCTCCTGGGACTAATTGCTCTGAGGCATGGAACATCCCCAGCGCCCGCCCAGTGGTGTCCTGAACGACTGGACAGCGGGGCAGCTTGCCGAAGCCCAGCCCTGCCCACGGGGCTGCTTCTGGCCTCCCTGACCCTGCTTTCCCCTGGCCCCTTCCCATAAGCATTAAGACACTTAAGCTCTGCCTCAGGCTCTGCTTTCTGGGAACCCAGGCAGGGCCAGTCAGTTTCCAGCAACGTTTCGTGTCTACCACCTAATCCTTACCAAAGCCTTGTACATTAGATAATCATCTCCAGTTCGCTGGGTTGAGAGAGCTTTCTGCACATCTGACATCTCAAAGCAGTGGTTCTCAACTGTCCGCATGCCACGACCCTTTCATACAGTTCCTCATGTTGTGGTGACCCCCAACCATCAAATTATTTTCATTGCTACCTCATCACTGTAATTTGGATACTGTTATGAATCGCCATGTAGATATCTGATATGCAGGATGGATTTTCATGGTTACAAAGTGAACATAATTAAAGCACAGTGATTCATCACAAATATATATATAATTATATATTGTGAAATGTTTATTTCTAATGACAAGTAAATGAAATTTTGTCTTGAAGCATGGTGTAACATGGGTAACAGTCTTCACGCCGGATACTTGTCTGTGGGTGTATCTGCATGTGGGCGGACCCTCCTGGAGACAGATAGAGGAGCAGTGTCTCGGTTCCTAAGACCATTGGAAATGTGTTTTCTGACAGTCTTAGGTGACCCCTGTGGAAGGATCGCTCAACCCCCAAAGGGGGTCACCACCCACAGGTTGAGAACCGCTGTCTTAAACAAAACCAATGGTCCAGACTCCAGCCCAATGATGGGACTCACCAAACACACTTTGTACCAGGCTATGCTGGCTGCCACACAACCCTACTGAGTGGTGCCTCCTGCCCTTCAGAGCATGGGCTGCCCAAATTGGCAGGGGGAGCATATGTTGTCCTGACAGAGCAGGCTTTATCTCATGTGTGATAGTTAGGTTTATTGTGCCAACCTGGCCAATAGGAACATGTGGGATTAATCAGGTCACAGTTTGATTGAAGGGCAAAGAGTTAAAAGGCTCTGCAAGGCCGCGCCCCTCTCTCTTGCTCTCTGGTGACCAGAGCGTGCTGGAACGTGCATGCTGCTGCTGGAGCTAAGTTCTCTGCCTTAACCTGTGAGCTACACCACCTGTGGACCAGGCCAGCCCGTGGATCGTGTCGTTAGAGCTGAGGCCCCTTGGAGACCTGCTTCGCCATGCTGTCGATGCGTCCCTCATACATTGCTTGAGCTTAAGGCTGGTGAATTCTGTCACCTTGCATTGCGTGTCTTAGATATCCCATCTGGGCCTGCTTTGCTGAG